TCTCCACAAAAAAGTTACTTGAAAAAGTTTATTTTTTTCGTTGCTATCTTTCCTAATCCCTGTTCTACCATCCTATTCACACAAGATAATGAAGAAAGAGGCCTTAGATATTTTACACTGACAAAGGCAAGAAGGACAGAAAAACAATACATTACCTACTTAATTATGTGCTCTAGAAATTTCTACTATCCCTTTCTGATTCTAAGTGTCCTTTTTGTTTCCATTTTCCCTAAAACTTGCCATTGATCACTTGTTCAATCGATGGTATTCTCAGCATCCTTCTGTAGAACTATATTTCTGTTGCTTCAAGCCTCTTCTTCATCTCTGAGGAGAATGTCCAGCAATTATGGCCATACAGGATGACCTTAGGATCAGACAAAGTTGTAATTTCTAGGGTAGATAATGAGGAAAGATGACTTGAAAAATTAGAGACTCTCAGAATATATTGAAGGCAATAAGCACAGAGGATTGCAAAGAAAAACCTACTTAACTAGCTTGTGTAAGTGGTTGGCAGACAGGAGAGACAACGAAAAAGAGAAACACTGCTAATAGTTACAAAGGACAGGAAGTTGTGGAGAGCCATGATCGCCCACAACCTGAAGGAACAAGGCACATAAAAGCACATTGTTTACCAATATGTTATACTATTTCTACTTTTTGCAGATTGTGAACTTATACGGTATGACTTGTTTCTAAGAATTTCTATCATTGTATATTTTCAGTCTGATACACCTCTGGATCAGATAGCAAAACACTGAATTAGCAGAAACAAACAATAAGTAACATCACAGAAACAAAATATCACAATTATCAACAGATATCCCATATCAGCCAATTAAAGGACACTTGATGATAATCAAAAGGTACTTGGTCGAAATGCTGTGTCTATAATAACACCAATAAATAATACTTTGAAATAATAGAATATGAACAATCACCCATCTCCAAAATAAAATACTAAATTATAAAAGTGTTAATAAAACTGAAGCTACTAAAAGAAGTTTATTATAGAAGATAGAAAAAAGAACTTCCAGTTCATGAAATCTGAGTATATAACCTTATACTTTAAAAGGAATTATTCGCAGTTATATTTACAGAGATTTAAAAAAAAAAAAAAAAAAAATGTGAGGTCACTCACATGGTTGGGTCATTCGTAAATAAATTGGTTTCCTCACCGATTTCTGGTGAGGAGGGCGTCTAGACACCCAACAGGATTAGAAACAAAACATGTCAAGGAGTGGATGAACCTTCTTATAGGGTCGTCAGCTATCTAACACAATGGAGTAGACTGGGCTCCATAGCTATGGATGCAACTAATGCATTGATGACAAAGCATTGCTGGATGAAGTGCTTTCTAGAATTAAGTCAACAGCCAGGGAGAGGGGACTCCAATAGAATCAACCACTACAAGTTCGTGATTTAAGGAAATCCCTCAAGACTCCAGAGAGGGATGGTTTCCAACAGGTACACTTGCCAAAAATGTGATATACTGAGGGAACTGGTCAGGTGCTTATTTACACAGTAACCCGATGACAATACCCAATCAAGGGAATGATAAGAAAAATAAAAAATCTTAATCAAAGGAAATAATTCAAACTGATCAAAAATACATTTTATAGGTATTTATATTTGAAACAGATTTCTTTTTCTTAGTTGCTGGTATTGAGCCCCATTTAGCTAGATGGGTCTATCTAGTTCCAAAATAATAATAAACTTATCACTCACATTGTTATTGGAATATGTTATCATCACTGGCCAGTATTTAAAACTATGTGTATGCAGAAATGTAAGAAATTACAAGACAGAAATTAGTGAAGGAGAGCGAGAAGAAGGGACTAAGCGTAAGCTACAAGAAGACAGAATGTATGGTCATCAGTAAAAGGATGAGCCCGAAATGCGATTTGCAGGTCAGGGACACTAAAACAAAGCAGGTGGAGAAGTTTAAATATGTGAGAGGCATTTTGACAGAGGACAGCAAGTGAGACACTAAGATCCGTAGACACATTGGGATGGCTAAGGACGCATTCCAAAAGCTGGGCAGAGTATTGCCAGACAGGAGGATCTCTTTGGTAACAAAGAAAAGAGTACTGAGCTGTTACGTGACATCTGTCCTCCTTTACGGCAGCAAATATTGGACAGTCTCCTCAAAGATGAAGAGACTCAAGGTGAAAGAGATGTGGTTCTACAGAAGGATGCTGAGGATATCATGGACTGAGCATGTGAGCAATGATGAGGTCTTGGAGAGGATGTAAACAAGGAGGAGGCTTATACTTAACATCAGGGAGAGGCAGCTGAAGTTTCTGGGACACGTAATGAGAAAGGAGGGCCTGGAGAATCTAATACTCAGTGGTCAAATAGAGGGAAAGAGAGACAAGGGAAAGCAATGCATGACATAGCTGGCGGGTTTGAGAAAGTGGATGATTGAATGTGGTCTAGGGGAGGTGACAGAGGGACAAAACTTATTAAGAGCTACAAGGGATAGGAGGAAGTGGAGATCCTTGATCAACTATGTCCTGAAGGGACCCTGCACATAAAAAAAATGTCTCTTTAAATACTTAATGATTTTAGTCAGAGTTAGAACAGTTGTGTCCAATCAATTCTTATTGAACCTTAAGTTACTCTACTTAACACTCAGCATCTCCCACTTTATTCAACATTTGGCAGAAAGTCTTAAAACCAAATCCATGGTAATTTAATATTACTAATTTCAGCTAATTCAAATTCATCACTTAATGATTATGGTAATTTTTTTTTTAATAATGATTGACATTGCATTTAAATTTTTGAATATCAAACTTAACTGGGAAGCAAGAACCTGGAAGAGAGTTCCACAAGCAATAAGTGTGATAAAAGAAACAATTATGGTATATTTTTTTTATCATTTCACCCCAAGCAAGACAAAGCCACAAGGATGCAAGGGATTACTCAATATTAGAGAATATGAGAAAAAAAAAACTATTAAGCAGATAGAACAATAAAAGGAACAATAATTTAGAAGATAACAATTGACATTGCATTTAACATATGATGGTGAGAAAGGTACTGAAGCAGAAATGCCAGGTCAGGACCAATAACATTGTAGATTCTTCTTTGGATTAATAATAATTATTAATGGGTTATTAATAATAATTATCATTAATTATTATCAAATTAAAACAGAGACAATGATAGAAATATTTTTGTAATGGTATAATTAATCAACAGCAATATGAACAACTTTCTTCCCAAGAACCAATCATGATAAAGAAATTTAAATTCACTTTTTTGTCATTGGTTAAGCACAAACATCCTTTTTATGTCTAATTGTCATCTGGCTTGAAAGTATAATATCTCTAGTGATGCTCTTTTTCTCAAAAGTGACCAGAGAATTCTACCACTAACAGACTTTTGCTAACTTCAGGTCATAGAGAAACAAAGCCACAAACATTCCAGAGACCATGTATTTAGAGCACCTAACACCTTTGAGTGAGTAGAATTCACATATAAGAAAAAAAACATTTTTCTCTCCGGTGAACATTCAAAAACTAAGAAAACATCTCTGAACTCTACTTATGCACACTTTTATTTCTTCAGTTATACAATGTTTTTCTATGCTTTCACAATTTCACTTAATGTACGCCAACATGCAACAAATCCATATAACTTGTAACTTTGTCTTTAAATGTTCTGTTCTTGTTGCTATGAGCAACTTCATCATTTTATCATTTCGTCTTTTACTGCTCCAGCTTGACAATTTCTTTAGCCATGACATTCTGAGAAAAGGAGAAGCAAAGTTTGACAAAGACAAATCTCTTGCATGTATGGCAACAATCATTATTTTTCCGTCACTCAAACAAAAGTCAAGTGTTTCACTAATGTGTGTACAGGCATATATAAGAATCCCTTATAAACAGGCTATAGTTAGAATGCACTAACATAGTGCAAAGCTTAAGCTGCAGTAAAATCTTTTTAGTCATGTGCGACAATAACAGACAACAGAAAGTATAACACACAAATCCAAAGGTACACAGTAATAGTGAAAGATGCCTTCTAAAAGTCAGACAAAGCATTAAGAGACAGGAAAATTTAATTAGAAACAAAAAAAAAAAAGTGCTCAAATGCTATGTAATATCAGTCTTCCTATATGGCAATGAGTGTATAACAATTTCCTCACAGATAAAGTGGCAACATAGATATAATTCTACAGAAGGATGCTGAGAATACCATGAACAGAAAATGTAAGCAATAAGGAAATTTTAAGGAAAAGGGAAACAAAACTGATACTTAGAAGTGGAAATATGTAGTTTAAATATTTGGGTACACACAATGGGCTTAGAGAATTTGACATTCACAGGACATATTGAGGGAAACAGGGAATTACCCAATGAGTGTGTGTAAATGTTTGGCAAAACAAGCACTGGGAGAAATAGTAAGGAGGCAAACACAGATACAAAGCATAGGAGGTTATGGAGAGCCATGTCCTGAAGGGAAATGGTACATAAAAAAAGTAGTAATGATTGTGATCTATTGAATTTTTAAAAAATCCTTTTTTTTTTTTTTTCATTTAACTTTTAGTAATTTTACAGCAAATAATTTATAAAAAATTTTTCAATTTTAACTATTTTGATATAAAAGTCCAAAGCTTCACCCCAGACTATCCGTCAACCAGGGAAATCTTATAGATGTAAGATTAAGTCATGAGACTGGGTTATACGTTATCCAGTAAACATGAAGTAAACTGATAGTTTCTATGGTTTATCAACCCACTGCAGGTTATTTAAAGCCAGAAAATATTTTTAGATTCTAAGAATTTTTTTTTTTGAGGGGTGGTGGGGATAATAATTATTTAATGATACAAGTCTTATTAATCAACCCATAGCTGTAGGGATGAGAAGTGGATTCATACCTTTCCCTAGAGTATTTACACCTAAGTGAATATAATAAACCCAACGGAAATTGGAACTCGGCTCTCTGATTAACAATTCCAAGCTATTAACTAGTACACCACCTGCACATCCAAGCTTACAGCACTTGGTATTCCCAAGCAGTCACCCATCTTGGTACTGACAAGGCTCAACATTACAAAACTTTGGTGATCATACAGGAACCGGTGTTTCAACTTGATATGGCAATAAGCAATTTCAGAGAATTCCCAGTATTGTTTTCATCTTAGTTTTAATGTCTAGGTGATTATTTTCACATTGGTATTGTAAGTATTTGCATTTCTCTTGTTCTCATTTGAATTGAAGCAAGAGAAAACAAAACAAATACTCGACTGAACTATGTTCAAAGTTTTCAACAAGGGATTGAAACAAAATAGAGTAAAAAAAATCCTTGTTTAATCACAAAGTAAAAATAATGGGCATTAAGAAATTTGATACTGCTTTGTAGTTATATTTTTAAACATTTTTTTATTTATTCATAAATCACAATTTTTGCAATAGATTATCATGTATGTGCCCTGTCCCTTCAGGACATGAGCAATCTTAGCTCTCCACAATTTCCTGTTCCTTGTAGCACGAAACAATATTTGACTCTTTACCACACCTCTCTGTCCCTGAGCTGCCATCCATTTATATAAACTGATTAGGCACGTTACTCAATCATGGTTCTCCACAACTTCCTGTCTCTTCGTAGCTATAAGCCACATTTGACTCTTTACTATCCCTCATTGCCCCTGATCTGCCATTTCTTTCACATAATCTCATTAAGTAAGTTGCTGTTTCTCTCTTTCCCTCAATTCCTCCTGTGAGTATTAGATTTTCCAAGTCCTCTTTCCTTAATGTGTCCAGGAAATTTCAACTCTCTGATAATAAGTCTAAGTGGTCTTTCTAAATATTGGATATGAATTGGTGCTCTCATAATATTTTCTATAATTTTGAAAAAACGTTTACCAACATTTCAAATTTTGATCAGACAATTGAAGAAAGGGACTCAGTTAACTTTAGGATTACACTATTTTTTTCTGAAGCAAAATCTCCAAATTTTGCCCCACTACAATATAAACAAAATTCAATTATTCAATGCCACATATATAATAAAAATATAGTTATATGGTATGCTATATTTATAGGTAAAAGTGCTCAATATCAGGGATAGAGCAAATGTAAATATAAAAGTGGACATTGAGGTTAACACCGAGTGGTGACAATCTATTTCATGCTTGAACACAATCTTCATGGCCTGAAGATTGCATTCAAGCAGACACCATTTGCTGTTGACTTCAGTGTCCCTTTTCATATATATATATATATATATATATATATATATATATATATATATATATGTGTGTGTGTGTGTGTGTGAGGGAGACATAGTAATCAAGACAACTTCACAACTCAATGCAAATTTCAGACCAAGCCCAATAAGTAAATTTTAAACAAAATATATTATTTGTTATCTAAATGGTTAGAATGCTCACTTTCCAACCATGAGACCAGATTAGAATCTCACTATGGTCAATTTTCTAGTTAGGTGACTTCTTAATGCTGTTAAGATGGGTCAATGTGACTGAGGGTTTGAGTATACTGGCCTTGTTTAAGCTCTGTTGTATTACATTGGGCACTGTTTTATTAACATCAGCACTATATGCATAATATATTACAATTATATATAATATGATAAAAATATAGTTATATAGTATGTTATATTTATAGGTAAAGGTGTTCAATATCAGAGTAGAGCAAATGTAAATATAAAAGTGAACACTGAGGTGAACACCTTGAATGCAGTTGTCATACCAGATTGCATTCAAGCATGCAACATACTTGCCATTTGATACTGAGTTAGCTCAGTGTCCACTTATATATATATATATATATATATATATATATATATAAGTCATTTATTTAGCTTGATAATTTTACTGCAATTTAACAAATGCTGTACTTATTGCTGCTTGGAATTTTTCAGATATAGAATATAAAAGTTAAATAGGTATGTAAGTTAAGCAATACAAAAGTTATTTTAAATCTAATATGCTCCTATTTTAATATAGGATTCTATTTTGAATCTGAAAGTTATTTTAAAGTTTTGGTTAAAACACATCAGAATCTCTAAGAGTTGAGAGTACAATTCCTGGGTTTGATAGTGCTGAAAAGTCATATACTCAGTGGAAAGAATGGACAAACAATCCACCAGTGATGAAGACTGGTAGCTATTAATTGTTAAGTTATCTCCACTAAACATGGAATGTGGAATGAGAACACGTCATTGAATTGAATGAAAGGTTTTGTTCAAAATTCTGAGAAAGTTATCAAATAGCAAGACAGGTATCTGAAGGTGACCAGGGAGTATAAAGGTTGAAATGTTGTGAATATAACAGTCAATATGAGCCTGTTGATACAAATAATAAAGCATATATTAACCACATAGACAGAACATTAATTCAGATCAAAATTCAACCTATAACTATACATCAAGGCTATAGGCTTATTGATCCAACCTAATATGCATTTATCTCACAAGTAAAAATAGAAAAGTAATATTGACTAGAGTAATGCATAATGAGCTATAATTAATGCTGAAAACAAAAATGATTCTTGGAGTAACTTTTAAAGTTATTTATCATTTTATTTGAAGAAAGCTTAGAATACTAAGGTCTTCTCATATCACTGTTAAGTAATGGTTAACAAGCCTCATGAGTGACTGACATGTTTTGATGCTCATCTGGTAGCATTTTAGGGAGTCTTTTTTAAAGTATCAAAATTCCATCCACAGTTGCCACTGATGAACCAACATATAAAAATGGGTCCATTCCTAGTTTTTTTCTCATGATGAATACACATAAATGGAATGAAAATTAATTCAATTACAATGTGTATAAAACAGAAACCAAAAATCAAAGAAATGCTATTAAAGTTATTTATTCAGAAGTTATGGCTTATCAAAGCTGAAAGAGCAAAAGTTGACATTTTACACTCCACCATGGCCATCACCAAACCAATTAAGTGTTTGGATCAAAAGCTAGTTAGAGACATTTTAGAATTGCTCTATTGGTTGTTTGTAGACATTTCCAAAGTGCTATAATAGCTTCAGAGTCTATGAACTGACAGACAATAGCAGAATTATTTGTAAATATTTAAGAGAAAAATTTCTGAGTTGACTTAAAACAGAAAGTAATGATCCAAAGAATAGCCTTGAATAACTTGAACTACTCAATATACATCAGCCAGTAATCCATAAACAGCATAAGAAAATGGTGATGGTAATAGAGTTATATTGGGTTGGACAAAATGTTTGTTTATTAAGTAGAAAATTTACTTCAAGTGAATAAACGTTTTGGTCAAAGCAGTATATGTAAGTTTCTATGAAAATCTATACTAACAGCATAAAAATAATAAAGGGAGTGAGTTCAAATCTTGATATAAGCTTGTGTCTTGTTTTTTTTGTTCATAATCTATCTTATATAAAGGTTAGAGAAACAGACCCTGAAAATTGTACGAGAATTCAAATGCAATACTTGAGAAATCCATGATCACATGTAATAACTTTAAGAAAAGCTCAAAATCCTGATATGCACATGATATTTATTATCAGGGGAAAGGTTCATGAAATCTTTATTTTCTACAAGTTTAAGTGAGACTTCTATTAAGACAATGACTATTTAAGGTAAGCTGCTCAACATGTACAGTTCAATTGAGAATGAGTAATGGTTCAACTGATAGTTAGCAAGGAGGCCCAGCTCAAATACTCAAGGAACTTCAAATAAATATCATTTTGAATCAGGAATAGGCTATCAACAGTTTTAAAGAGAAATGTTTAAAAACACAAATATTTTTTTTTTTTTTTTTTTTTTATCTAATGCTAAAATTCATCTAACGCAAGTAAATAAAGAAGCAAGCTGAGATCTACATTTTCATTGGAATATCTCTAGCAATATTACAGGGGGAAGAATGTTTATGGAAATTGATCAAAACATTCATTCTCTGTAAAGATTGTATATATAGTGACATAGCCAATTATAAGAGTATACCATATATGATTTCATATAAGACTTCCTCCCACTTCAGCAGGGAATATTAAAACAAAATTATTGGATGATATATTGAATATTACTTGAATTTCATCCATGTTCTCTATTTGGTCTTGGTCAAAACATTTTCTCATACATTTATAATAAAAATATCAAATTCTACTATTGAAGCAGAGGTGAATCAGTTTTATTTGCCATCAAATATGATATTTCAAGTAAGAACAGTATCAGTATTCACGTGAGCAGATATATTGAATATATTAATAATATTTTAAATAATATAAGAGATATAATCTCTGCTTTGGTGGTATCCACTTTGTTCATCAAACAATGTAATCCGTGACATCAGGAGTTGGATTTATTAAACAAATACACTAACAGAAAAAGAAATTGTAAAATCCTGAAGGATGATTTTTGTCTGAATTTCTGGGATGAGGAGTTATGATTATTTACATTATTTACACTCAAGTAAAAGTACTGGTCAGATAGGAACACTGAAGAGCCAAACATCTGAAATAATCCACACACATGCTAGGCTATGAGAACCTCTGTACCAGTCTGCCTAGCAGAGAAATAAATATTATATTGGAGCCATTAATAAATAAAGAGAAATGACAACAAGGCTTCAAAAGTAGCAGCACTATAAGTGAAGCCTCATTGAGTGCAATTAAGTATGATGAGTTTCAGTAGTACTCATCAGCAGGCAGGTTAGGTTTAAGGCTCCAAGTTCTCTATTCAGAATTTTGAATTAAAGTGTTGGTTTCTTGAATTTGTAGTAATTGCCAGTTTCACCACTGGACTGGACAGTGTGTACTTGACTCAGTGGAAATGGGACAAACAATAACTGAGTTGAACTAGATAAAAACTAGATGATATATACTATGAACAGTGGAACAAAAACTATTCCCCCACATAGATTAAATAAAGGCCTTGGTTCAAGATTCCCTGAATGTTAGCTGGATCGATAATCATCTGATGGAAGCTGGAGGGCATAATGTCTGAAACATTGATGAGAATAATAGCTTGCATGTAAATAATCCTGAAGGATGATACTTGTTTTGACCTGGGCACTGAAGGTTTATCTGCAGTCATATTATGATATAGTAACACTCACATTAGAAATTTAGAGCTTTAGAAATGATAATGACACATGCTG